CTGTGCGTCTGCCTCCGAGTTATCATATAAGGCTATTTGCTCATGGTTTTGCAGCTTTATAGGAAAAATACTCTCAAGAGGCTACAAGGACCTTGATTTCACTGGCAGCCTTTTAGAGCTTGTTTTCTTCTTAGGCAGAATTATGGTGAGCCACTGGAATGGGTTGCCCAGGGAAGTTGTGAATGCTCCATCCCTGGTAGTGTTTAAGGCCAGGTTGGACAGATCCTTGGGTGACATGGTTTAGTGTGAGGTGTCCCTGCCCCTGGCAGGGGGGTTGGAACTAGATGATCTTAAGGGCCTTTCCAACCCTAACTATTCTATGATTCTATGATTCTAAGCTCTTCCCTGTTGAGGGTGCTGAGGCACTGGCACAGGGTGCCCAGAGAAGCTGTGGCTGCCCCATCCCTGGCAGTGTTCAAGGCCAGGTTGGATGGGGCTTGGAGCAACCTGGTCTGGTGGAAGGTGTCCCTGCCCATGGCAGGGGGGTGGAATTGGATGAGATTTAATGTCCCTTCCAACCCAACCATTCTATGATTCTAGGAGGAGTATTTCTGCTAAAAATGAGTCCTGCATGGTATCAGACCTTCCTGAGCGAATAAAATGGAAAATTGCAAGTATTTTATAAGCCACCAGAGAATATGCAAACAGTCCCCTTAAATGGACATAACAGACCATGTTCAACACATTCCATGTGTATAAACTCATAAAGATCTATTGAAAGTGTGGTCAGGTGTTGACCTAGAAGCTTTGGGGGTTAAATATAACTGACATGATGGGTTCATTTTGTATTTTTCTTATTCAAAGCAGAACTTCAGTTCTTAACAGTTGGTGGGTCAGAAGTTGGGAGACCTCTTTCTCTCACAGAATAAACCAAACCAAGATACGGACAATCTAAGTACTTAAACAGCTGCAGAGAAGGGAAAGTCGGGCAGGTAGCCACCTTGGCATTATCTTAAAAGGTGAATGTAGCAGCGAGCCATTAGCACAGTGTTTATCTGCAGTCTGGTGGGTAAAGTAACTGAATCTGCTGTAAATGTGCCGGACTAGAGCTCATTAGCTCTCCAGTTTCACCTCCACCCGTGATCTCTGCCATCTCATTGTGTGACCTTGGGCAGCATGTTTCATCTCGTTTGAATCAGAAAAAAATGGAACTGGAGTGTCAGTTTCTCTGAGTGGCACTGGGAAGGGAAAGCTCGAGGGGATACAGAGCACAGTGTTCCAGCTCAAAAGCATCTGGCAGATGCTGTGGTCTGAGGTACTGCTGATCTGCATGTTCAGTGAAGAAAGCCTTGGTATTTTAACTTCTGCTGGCTCTTGAAACAACAGATCCAACTTTTGCGTAGCTTTTGTGAAACAGAGCTAGGCTAAGTGCAAAAGGATTTTCTGTGTTCAGTTCTGGGGCCCTCACTACAAGAGAGACATTGAGGTGCTGGAGCGGCTCCAGAGAAGGGCAATGGAGCTGGTGAAGGGTCTGGAACACAAGTGTGATGAGGAATGGCTGAGGGAACTGGGGGGTTTAGTTTGGAGAAGAGAAGGCTCAGGGGGAACCTTATCACTCTCTACAGCTACCTGAAACGAGGATGAAGTGAGGTGGGGTTGCTGTCTTCTCCCACATAACAAATGACAGAACAAGAGGTAACGGCCTCAAGCTGCCAGGGAAGATTTAGACTGGATATTAGGAACAATTCCTTCCCCAGAGGGTGCTCAGGCATTGGAACAGGCTGCCCAGCACAATGGTGGAGACACCATCTCTGGAAGAGTTCACAAACCGTGTAGATGAGGCCCTCAGTGACATGGTTTAGTGGCAGCCTTGGCAGTGCTGGGGAATGGTTGGACTTGATGTTCTTAAAGGTCTTTTCCAACCTGGCTGATCCTATGATTCTATAAATTCTATGATTCTACGCAGTGACAGAGGTGAAAGCTAGCCCTGAGCACTGCTCTGGAGCAGATCAGCATGTCTGTTCCCAGCACTGATGGCTGCAGATCCTCCTCTTTCTCTCAGCTCCACTCAGTGACATGGGCTGGACCGAAGCCCAGTTCTAGAAAGTGGAAATACACTTCCACAAGGCTTTAGATACAGCTCTAGAAAGTAGGTGAACTTTGCTGATGAATTTTTAGAAGAGTCTCTTTAATGTTTAAACAATGCTGGTTTTCTAATGATTGTTAAACACATGTGTAAGAGGGCTGGAAAGAATCTTAGTGAGACAATGCAGAAAGGGATGGGCTGGCTCCATGATGCTGGTTTCTGCTGCACCATGATCTTCTTCCTGCATGGGGATGAGTCTATCCCAACACCTCTAAGGCAGGCCACAGAATCTTCTGGCCTCACTGACTACACAATTGACACAAACCTCCCATGCAGCTTCTTCAGAGGTCAGCTGCTTTTGTAGTAAGGTAAATAGGAATAACAATACCTGGAACAATCCAAACAAGTTTTTTTTTCTGCACCAGCTCACTTGAAATTCTATTGTGTTTTTCGAACTTATGCCCACAGTTGAGGAATAAAAGTTGAGAGGAAGAGATAGTCTGCAGTGAAAAGCCCTTCGTAATGGGAGAAGTGGAGGATGAATGGTATCTATCTCCAGACCAGGTGTCCTTCTGGCAGATGTTCTCCTCTGTAACTACAGAGACTGGCAGGAGTTCCTGGGATGACCTGCTAGGGGGTGAGAACTTCTTTCTGAGCAGCTCCAGTGAGAAATACTGAGGGTTGAACGCCAGCCCTTGAAGCAAGCCCCACTCCTAGGTGGTGGAAGAATAGCAAGACGCTTCACGGCCTTGGGAATGCCAGGGAGTGCTGGCTCTGTGTCAGGACAAAAGGCAGCCTAAGACACTGGAAAACACCAAGGTGACCTTTTAGTGGCAGGAATCATAGAATCATAGAACAGTTTGGACCTTAAAGCTCCTCCAGTCGCAACCCCCTGCCACAGGCAGGGACACCTTCCACCAGACCAAGTTGCTCCAAGCCCCATCCAACCTGGCCTTGAACACTGCCAGGGATGGGGCAGCCACAGCTTCTCTGGGCAGCCTGTGCCAGCGCCTCAGCACCCTCACAGGGAAGAACTTCTGCCTAAGAGCTCATCTCAGTCTCCCCTCTGTCAGGTTAAAGCCATTCCCCCTTGTCCTGTCCCTACAGGCCCTTGTCCAAAGCCCCTCTCCAGGTTTCTTGTAGCCCTTTTAGGTACTCAATGCTGCTCTAAGCAGAAAATGTGAATTCTAGTCAGGGCTGCCCAGCAGAGAAAAGGATGGGATGTTACTCACCCAACTAGCTTTTACAACTAGAACAAACGGAAAACTACTGCAATTAGGCCATAAAGTAGTAGTGGGCTAGTGTAAGTTTTGTAGCAAGAGAATGGAAATAGCTTTTTACTTTTTTCTTCTGTTTCCTCTGAGGAAACTTCACAGTGATGGAAGAACAGGAGACAAATACCATTTCTCTGAAAAAAAAAAATATCCCAACCCTCGTTGCATTCTGAATGCGAAAAGGCAGCATTTATTTATAAAGAACGCAGATGCTGCAGGCCTTGATAACTCTGTTGTTCACCGAGCAGTGTCAGGCTGGGCTCCTTGGTCTGAGAGAGCACAGCAGAACACTTCGGGAAACATGCTGATCAGAAACAGGACCGCATCTTCCTGAAATGTCTGCCCAGATAAGGGGATGCTCTACAGCTGGAAGTGATAAGGAGGCAGGAAAAGAAAAAGTTGTGGTGAATGGGAGTGTGATGTTTTTCAGTAACATCACACAAAGCAGCAGCTGGTCCCTAGGAAGATCTTGAAAGGAGGCTTTGAAGGTGCAAAACTTTCTCAGGCTGGGCTTCCAAATCCTCCACCATTTCTTGCAGCCACATGTTCCTCTTGCTCCATGACTAGGCACCTACTCAGCAGCTGTATCTTCCACCCCAAAGGGGCCGCAGGTTGAGCATCTCTACCACCAGCAGAGCCATGTCCTCAGAGACCCTCACCAGATGGCGACAACTATATCATACAGCCTCGTGGTTTGACAAACAGGGTCCACTCACAGCACGCACTCTGAAGCACAGGGCAAGCACAATCCCCTCAAGATTCATGAAACAACATTCAGATTTTTCAAACATACAGTAGGAGAAAAAAAGGCGGAGAGGTGAGAATGCACCTCAATGCCACCGAGCTGGATGGTTGCCTTTTACCTTGCAAGGAGAATCCAGTTATGGGAACATTTAATAGAATCATAGAATCCCAGACTGGTTTGGGTTGAAAGGACGTTAAAACCTCATCCAGTTCCACCCCCCTGCCACGGGCAGGGACACCTTCCACTAGACCAGGTTTCTCCAAGCCCCGTCCAACCTGGCCTTGAACGCTGCCAGGGATGGGGCAGCCACAGCTTCTCTGGGCACCCTGTGCCAGTGCCTCAGCACCCTCACAGGGAAGAGCTTCTGCCTAAGAGCTCATCTCAGTCTCCCCTCTGTCAGGTTAAAGCCATTCCCCCTTGTCCTGTCCCTACAGGTGCTTGTCCAAAGCCCCTCTCCAGGTTTCTTGTAGCCCCTTTAGGCACTGGGAGCTGCTCTAAGGTCTCCCCTTAAGGAGCCTTCTCTTCTCCAGGCTGAACCAGCCCAGCAGAAAGTGCAAGTTTGCAGCTGTGTAACAAATCAAACCTCGGTGCAATGCAGCGACTGTTTAAGGACAGGGTGAGCTGACACCTCAGCTCATGAAGTCCTGAGCCCACTGTGATCTCTGGTCTGGGCCCAGTTTGGGAGCTGCAGCTCTGCCCCCTCTACCCCAGCCCGCAGGTGGGTTCCTGCTCCTCAAGGGCCGGTGCCATGCTGGCAAGCTCCTGAGGTACAATCCCCGCCAGCCCCGGACCCAGACCAGCCCCACGCGGCGAGGCCGGCAGACGCGGGAACCCCGCTCCGCGACATGGCGGCGGGCGCGCACGTGGCGGGGGCCGGGCCAGCCCCTCTCCCCTCACGGTCCGCAGCACAATGGACAGCGCTCTGCGGCGCCGCGCGGGGAGGGGCCGGCGGCGGGGCGGGGCTGGCTCGCGCGGCGGTTGAAGCGGCGCTTGGAGCGGGCGGGAGCGGCGCTGTCCGGGTGGGGACTGCGATCGGGACGGGGACCTCCGCGCTCGGGATGGGCCCGGCTGGGTCCCGTCGTGCCCGCGGTGAGGGGGGGGGGGGGGGGGGGGGGCGGCGGCGGGACGGGACGGGACTCTTCCTCTGCGGGGGTCTCTCGGGGCGGCTCTGTGAGGGAGGGCGGCCGCTGTACCTCACGGCGTGCACAGTGTGGCGGAGCCGGGGGACGCGGGGCGGTGCCGGTGTTAAGGTGCCGGGAGCCGTGTCCGTGCGGCTGTGGGTAGGTGAGCGGGACATTCTAGCCCTAATGCTGTGGGGATTAGGGAGGGAGCGGGTGAGCCGCTCCCCGCGGCGTCCCGGGGCTGACTGAGGCTCGCTCCGGCTTGAACACCAGAAGCGGGTTTCGAGTTCGCTGGTTCGTGTTGGCGTGGGGAGGGAGCAGCGAGCGGGACCCTCCCTTCGGCTGTGTCGGGCTCGGGAGCGGCGCCTCTGGCCCCAGCCCACCCTCCGTGCCCCTGCAAGTCCAAAAAGCCCCCCAAAACCGGCCCTGGGGTGTTTGTGTGCTCAAAGGCTGGCTCTGGTAAAGTGCTGCCATAGGTACTGGTGGATTTGGGTCAACTCTATAAAACCCCGGGGGATGGAGGGCAGGCTTAAGCCATGTGCTGTACCTGGGTCACTTGGTTTAATTCTCCCAAGTAGTGGATTTGGCTTGCGGGTGGCAGGATGGGATCGTGGTGGTGACACCACTGGGCTGAGGGGGTTCATGTGCGTAAAGAAACTTCACTGAGGAGGAGCCGAGATGTTTTGTGCTGGGGCTTTGCTGCATTAAGTGATCTGCCCACTGGAGCTGCTCGTGGTTTACGGGTTAAGCTGAAGTGCGGCTCTGTTCCTAAATTGAACGTGAGTATTGAGCAGTTGACAATAGCACTGATGGACAAAGTGGCATACATAGTAGGAGTTCTGATGGAGTAGAGGGTGCAGAACAAGGGGCTTTCCTTCAGGAATGCTTGCGTACTGCTGCAGGTTGGCAAATATCAGTAATTTTGTTTGTGGCTGTGCATAATAGGTCAGTTGGTGGTTCTTTGGTGAGAAAATTGACTTATGGAGGTGTGGATGCATTAGTCATGAAGCTTAGCTTGATATATACAAGGCTTAGAGAGCAGAATGCTGTATGCTGTTCCTTTTTCTTCTTCCCCTCTCAGCCAAAGAGAATGTTCCTCATGGTGCTGTGAAGAATGTGTAAATGCTGTTGTTTGAATGTTTGTGCTCTTGGCCTTGAATTATAGTCTACAGAAGAACCCCAGGTATCTCTGCAAGGTGTACAGAGTGGTGGCCAGGCTCTGTGCTGCTTCACCCTGGGACCACAGAAGTTTCTCAGGGGTAAGATGAAGTTCTGCTTGAGAAAAATGTCTGCTTCTAAAAGATAGTAAAGACTTATGCTGGCACCATTCTGTTTTGAGGCTTCCTTATGTCAAGCTGTGAAAGACTTGGTCTCAAGTTCTTGTGTGAAACAGTTCTAATGAATATTCTACAGCTTGGTACCTTCTAATCATGGAATGGTTTGGGTTGGAAAGGACCTTAAAGCTCACCCAGTTCCAACCCCTTGCCATGGACAGCGACACCTTCCGCTAGACCAGGTTACTCCAAACCCTGTCCAGCCTGGCCCTGAACACTGCCAGGGATGGGAAGATGTTGTTGTTACATGTGTAAAGCATCAGCTATTGTGTCAACATCTATGGAGTGAAAGGCATCTCGGCAGAGGAAGTATTAGACACCTTTCTCTCCATCTTACTCTAAAAGTCCTGCAGAGTCCCCCTTTTTCTAATTGGCAATACCAACTTAGCTGGCTGCTGCAGCTGCCTTTCACATGCTGCAATAGTAGTTGAGGAAGTCTGGAATTCTGCTATTTTCAGCAGTTCTTTGTCAACAGCAACTCAAGAAAACTGCTCAGTTCTCTTTCAGCTGAAAGGAAGCCACCACAGGTGGGAGAAGTTAATAAAGTCACTTGCTGCCCAGTTTCACCCTTCAACAGTCAGCTCTAATGTGGAAAGAGCTGAGTGAGTTTGTATTAGCCCAGATGAGAAGTAGAGGCTTGGGGCTTTATATATATTTGATATATAAACTCAATTTCTGATCTCCAGCCATCTGCATGTTCTGTATTCCATCAAATAAACCTCTCCTACAAATAGAATAAAAGTTAATCATATGGAAAACCACTTAGGTACACAGTTGATGATTCTAAGTAAAATGGAAACACGGTTGATATCCCTGCCTCTTCCCTTTGCTGTGTGTGTAGTGATATGTGTTCCTTTTGGGAGCATGTGCAGTCTCCAAGCTCAGCTGATCTGTAGTGGTAGCTTTGAGTGCTGTGTGTTTGCCGCTTCTGGTTAAGAATTTGTCTTTTTTCTGAAATGCTCCCCAAGTTACTGCAGAGAAATGCCTGTGCCATCAGGGCTTTGTATCCTTCCATGTCACGCCCCCTTCCCTGCTCTCCTCCCCTGGTACAGTGCCAGCTGGTGTAGCTCAAGCTTATAATTGACTCTCTGCCTTTTAGGGTTTGGTTCTTTAGCTCATGTGTGAGTTACTGTATGGGATGTGGTGAGGGGTACACACAGGCTTTGCAGGGAGTTGCAGCCTGTTGGGTCTCCGTGCTGCTGGCACTGCTGTCAGCATGTCATAGGATGCTTTGTTCAATGTGGCAGCTGCTGCTGCTCACCTCTGCGTTCAGGTGTGCAATAGGTGAGACACTTAATATCTAATTGGGATTGTTAAAGTTATTGTGAGATGTTTTGATTCAGTGTATTGGCAGCTTCAGTTTCTGAATTGTTGCCAACTTGGGCTTGGCTTGCTGAAATGATGCCCTTCCCTGGTGCTGCCCTGTGTGTGGCTACAGGTCTGCCTCTGGCTGTGGGTTGGGGTTTCCAAGTGATCAGGCTGTAGTTTAGTGAGTTGCTGCTCTTCAGCAGAGCTGTGGCTCTTAATATGTGCTTTTAGCCCAGTGCAAATGCAAAGTAAGCAGGTAGCCTGGGCCACTGGAGGCTGGAGTTGTATGATGGGTGTTGATAGGAGCAGGCTTATTCTGTAGTTGTGTAGTTTCTTTCTGGTTTTCCTTAGAAGGTGGTCAAAATTATCTGTTTATAACTTGAGTGGAATACATGAGAACTTTAAAAACATGTCTGTCTTTTTGGTGCTAAAGCTCTATGAGGATATGTGTCTTCAGCTAATACGGCGCAGCTGCCTGGTGGTAACAGCTGAAAATCTTGTCATTATCACAGAATCTCAGACAGATTTGGGTTGGAAGGGACCTTAAAGCTCATCCAGTTCCAACCTCCTGCCCTGGGCAGGGACACCTTCCACTAGACCAGGTTGCTCCAAGCCTCATCCAGCCTGGCCTTGAACACTGCCAGGGATGGGGCATCTGGTTCTATCAATGCTAATCACCATCTGTATCTGTGAACAGCTTTCACTGCTTTTCTGATTCAATTTTTCTTTTTTTCCCCAGGAATTCTAGCTGGAGTGCCCCTTGCTTTGAGAAGCAGAATGACTGTCTCATGGCACTGTTCTGAGGAAAGGGCATAGAAAGTCTGTCACTGCTCTTTGCCTAAGGTATGCAAGGTTTCTAGGGCAGGAGTGAGTTATCAGCTGTCTGTCTTCCACAGCTTCCCATGGATATAATAATCACTGATGCTTTTTCTCAAGCTTCCCTCAGCTAGAGGAGTACAGGGCAATAAACCTGTGACAATCAGTTTTGCAGTTGCTGGGGACCAACGGAGGTATTCAAGCGGTATGGATAAAGCTGTTGAAGTATAGCTTGTGCCATCCAGTTCTGTTGGTGGTGGCTTTGTTTGTGGGCTGTAGGTGATTTCTAGACTGGTCTGTCCTGAGACCTCCTCCTACAGAGGTGCAGGAGTTCCTGGTTTAGCAGGTGAGGTCAGAACAGGGAGCAAGTTACAGCTAAAAATGTTTGAGGCTTTTCTTGCTATATTTGCACTTCCTCAGAAGGTTCCTGCACAGCCAAGGCATGGTTCTTGCATTATCATATTACAGCATTGCATTACAAGGTGCCCTGTGCCTCTTGGCTTGGGTATCTGATAAATGATAGCAGCCTGGGCTTCCTGGGTGTTTGCTCGCCCCTGTCTGCTCACTTCAGTGGGAGTTGGATGCTCTGCTGATGCATTCTGCATGCATTTCTGTGTGGACTGGGTTTTAGCACCAGTAAAACTGCTGGAGATCCAGCAAGTCCTGAACATTGCTGCTTGGGTAATGTGATCCTCTGCAGAGTAACTGTCTGATTGCAAGTCCCTTCTGCAAACACTCCCTGTTCACAGGTACTCCTACTTTTTGAAGTCTCTTTCCCCTTTCCCTGGCTTAGATTTTACTGTGTAATGGCATTTTGCAGCAGTCTTTGAGGGATAGTCTATTGCTGTTTGCCTTTTAATTCATGTTTCTCCTCCATTTTTGGGCTTAAAATACCAGGGATAAGTTGACTTAATGCTCTGACTGTTGAGTTCACTGCGTCATGTTGCCGAGGGCTGTATCTGCTTAGCAGTAGAATTTGAGTGGGGTGGAATCAGCATCATGTCTCAAACAAGCTGTCCAGTCTTTTGTGTTTCTGATGTTCATAGATCATATTAATAGAAACAATATAATGGAATCTAAAGGAATCACAGAAAGCAGCCTAATAACTGCCTTTAAATGGTCTCTGTACTTCCTTGAGATGCTGGTTATTGATGCATATTTGAGGGTTAAAGCTCCAGCAAGAGAGTCTGAGGGAGGAATCCTGATGAGCACAGTGAGAGGAGGCTTGGAGAAATGAAATGCTGAGAACGGAATTGTTTCCATTGCATGCACTTATTGCCTCAGTTCAGCTGGAAGCAGTAGGCATCCAGTCAGTGGGATGTGATTGCTAGCTTAGCATCAGGCATGTTCTTTAGGCATGCTGCTTCCTTTTCTTTTAGTGGGTTAAAACAACTGAATGCTACTTTGTGCACCACAGCATTTAAACCACCAAGATATAGGAAGCTGTGGAAGCTTTCAACAAGGGGCATTTTGCATAGCGATTATGAATTTAATGCAGAAAAGTGAAGTAGGGAGAAGCACTGCCATTTCAGCCTTGCAGGGCTCCTAAAACAGGCTCCTTCTCCAGAGTACAATTGATTCTGGCTTTACATCTGTTTTGTGCTTTAATTATTATGAGTTTTGTTGGAGCTCCAGGTTGAAGTTACTGCAGTAGTGTTGGAAAGCAGCAAAGGATGCTACCACATGCTGGATTGGGACTGCAGAGACTTACCTTTCGTTCTGTCTCTGCCACTGACTTGTTAAGCAAGATACTGTACCTAACATGCCTACTCCTCTCTATCTGTGAGAAAGAGTTAAGGCTTCTAGCAAGTTGTGAGAGAATTGTTGGGATGTATTGTAGTGGTTGGTGTAAGGGTTCTGAAATTTTCCAACTTCTTTTTATTACAGGTGTGTAGTAAAAATGGTGCAGAAATACCAGTCCCCAGTTCGGGTCTACAAGTATCCTTTTGAGCTCGTCATGGCAGTGAGTAACACTCAGCACTTTTACTTCTCCAGCTGCTAAGGGCTGTGACCTCAGGCCAGTGGGGGGGGTGACTGCAGCTTTGGCCAACATGTCTTTGTGGCAACCTTATGAGTACGCTGCAGGAACAGAGATTCAGCTCTCATTATCTTTTTGTCCTTTCTTCTGTTTTCCATGGAAAATAAGAATCAACATCTTAGAACTGTAAGAGAGACATTACACGGGAAGAGGGGGAAGAAGCCCTCCCAAAACAACAAATCTAAGCCTGCTGTAATTACCCTTTCACAAGGAAGGAAAAAATTGACATTCAAGTAGGCAGAGTCAGTTTGTGTCCAGACAGTCTTTGCCTGATCACCAGATGCCATTCAGCTTAGAATGTCTCTAGATCAAATCAATATTGTAGGATGTGTGTATCTAGAATTTGATTCTAAATCATACTGAGCTTTCTGGCTGAAAGCTAGAAATCTTTAGAAAAATCATTTTCTGTTCACTCTGTGATTGGAATGTTGGGAGAGATCTCTTCAAATTGTGATTCCTACAAGAGGCTGTACTTGAAGTTCTGCTGATGATGCAGAAAGCTAATGTGACCATGGCAGTGTCCTTAGAGTTTAAAGACATTTCTGATATTCTGGACTTTGCTGCTGCTCCTCAAGGTGTGAGTCAAATATCATTCTGAAGGGCTTGCTGCTTGCATTTCAAGGGCAGCACTAGCATTTGGGAATTTATCTAAATATTTATCTGCTTGCAGACTCTTGCAAAGCTTTGTTTTGTAATCTGTTGGGCATTTCAGTCTGCTGGAGGCAAACTTAGTATGTGCCACTTTGCTGCTTTCTCCATCTTCTACCCTGCTGAACAAGGACACCAGTTTTTTTTAGTTTATTAGGGATCAAGAGTGAAGGTGGAAAGCTTATAGCCATTTGATGTAGATGACATTTACATAAAAGGGAGAGCCTGACTTAATACACTGCATTCCTCTTGACAGTCTTGCCTCTTCTAGATTCAAGTGCCAAAAGATGTGTTTTATCCCAAGTGGCCTCCTTCTATTTCAATAGTTAAAACTCAGGGAGAGATTCTATTGGTCTTAAATGTGACTAATGGACCCCAAAGGTTCCTCAGCTCAGAGTGGTTGCCATTCATATGATGCTCTCTGATCATCCAAATAAACACTTTTTTTTTGACAGTTGGACTCCCTCCCTAATCCCCCTCTGCTTATTTTTTCCAGTCTTACCCAGATTTGCCATGTCTGTTAACAGCTGAGCCAGTAACATGCTGTAAAAGCACTCCAGCGAGTCTGGGGCTGATGTTTGTGATAGTGAAACTTTCCTGGCCATGTGCTTTCTGCTCTCAGTGCATCCTGAATTAGATTTAGAGCAATGTCTTCATAACAAGCCCTGGTGTAGTCTTTGCTCTGTGCATACCTTTCCACATTCTTGTTGTCTATATTAGCAGGATAAGCCTAACACCAGATGCCTGTCAATAGACTGGCTGCTAATATAGGAAGGCTGTCTCTAGACAAATCTTCTGTAAGCTTGTTAGCAGAAAGCCTAAAGGCAGCAGTTGATGGGTTTTGTTTTCAAGTGGTTTAGTTTTATTTGCTTTCAGTTTTTCAACATAACAGGACTTAAATTCCCTGGGTTTTCAGGATGAGGATTGTAAATGTCATCCTCTTGTTCTTCAGCAAACTCAAATTCCCATTACCTTAGCAAAGATATTAGTCCTCTTTTATATGAAGATCAAGTTACTTGTCCAGGGTCATCCAAAGGGCTGTGGTGGAGTAGGGAGCTGAATATAGACCCCTTTAGTCCCACTCTAATGTCCTGTGAAATCATGTGTTTGCAGCAGGATTTGCTTTCTTACCAAGACTGGCATTACAAAGTAGCTTTCAAATCTAGTGGCAGGGCATGCAGGCTGGGTTGGATGCAGCTTTGTTATTGTGTTTGTGTTCAGATGGCTCTTCCATGCTGTGGAGGCATTGCAGGCATCACAGAGCTGTCAGGTGCTTGCTGTCAGCTGCTGGAAGTTCTGCAGGGAGAGTGGGTGTGCAGTGAAGGTGTTTTGCTCTTCAGCACGTGGCATTGCTGTTAATCTGCTTCGACATAAATCTGACAGCAGCTTCCTCTGCACTGGCAATCTGCTGTTCAGCTGCTTTCATCTTTTTCCCCTCAAATGCTTGGTGTGAACCTTTTGGAGTGCTGAGGGCTTATACTGTGGTTAATGGTAGGAAAGCAGGAGGTCATATGGGTGGACTCAAGACACCTTATTTTATGTGTCCTTGTGCACCCTGCAGCCTGATACACTTGGGCTTGTATATCATCTGTATATCAGGAAGGGTCATGCTTCCTGTGATCTGTTCAGGCCCTGTCATGAGGGAAGTGGTGTTTGTTAGGGGAAATATTTTTTCTCCCAGAACCTTGGATATTTGGACCCCACTACAGAAAACTGTGTGTACTTCGTTGAGATAGGAGGCCTGAGAAATAGGGTCGTCATAACCAAATGAGGCAATGGCTTCATTGCTTCCTTGTTCAGACGCACATAAAAACACGTCTTTTGTTGAGCCTTGCCTTCAGTTTCAATTTATCTTCCTTGGGCTTGTACAGGGTGTATGTGTGTGCTGCTCCTCCTCTAGACAGCACAGGGCTGTGCTTGACAGATGAGCTGGTGCTCTTACAGTTAATACCTTTGTTATTGCATATCTATGGGTTATTGTTTATGGGTTTACACTAACTAATGCTTGTGCAGCTTGGGTTCTGGCATTCACAGGCAGTAGGTCTGACATATCTTCCAAGTCCTTGGAAGGAGGATCATGTTCCCCCTTCTTGCTCTCTTTGCCAGTCCTGTACATCTGAGGAACTAAAAAGGAATCTGCTTGCCAAGCCTCTTGTGGTCATTCAGGAGCTCTGAATTTTTTCTTGTTAGAAGAACCCTCCCTTCTAAAAAGGCTTAAACAAAGGATGATCTTTCCACATCTATTCTAATTCACAGTACTCGTATTCACCTGCTTTGTTCCTAACCTGCACTCACTTTAAAGAATCAAAAATGTCATGCTCTTCAAATTATAACCAGTGCCTGACAGCTTCATCCCTTAAAAAGAACCTTGGTGTTTTGTTATCTCGTCATGTTTCTCCTTTCAATTTTATCTCTTCTATTTTGCATCTCTTTTTAAATGGGGCTGCCCTTTTAAACGGCCTGTCCATGCTTCTTTGGGCCTGATCTTGTCTTCAATTAGATCAGTGAGTTTGAAATTGCAGATGTCTCCTGATTTTATTTTACACACAAGAAAATCCCTAAGTATAAACATACTCTTTGGTTTCTTTGTGTAGTAGTTTTACTTTTAAAGCTGAAAGGTGTTTTTGTTTGCTGTTTTTTTGTTTGTTTTAGGTTTCTTTGTTTTTTTTTGAGGGGGTTGTTTGTTTGTTTGTGTTTTTACTAAAATGTTATAATGAGGGAAAAATCCAGAAGGTAATTCTGCAGTAGCTCATGAATGGTGGCTTACTCTGTAACTTATTGTGAGCCTTCTCTGTGTGGAGATGAGAATTTGATTTGGGCGAGCAAGTCCAAAATGCATAGCTGTACAGGAAACAAAGCTGAGACCATGTATTTACCATCATTGTTTGCCAGTGAATTACTAGGTCTATTAGTGAATTTATTAGTTTTAGCTTTGAAAGCATAGGGAGTTTTGTTCCCATTAATTTTAGTAGTGTGTTCAACCCTTTGCACTTGCAAATGACACCTGCCATTTTCACATACTTTGAGTGTTCTTTGGATGGTTCCTAAAGCTACAGATCTAAAATAACACCCCCCAAGGACTCTTCCATACTTGATGTATAGTCTGAGTTGCTGCAATTGTGGTGTAAATGAGAAGCTTCATGACAGCACTTGTGTCAGTTATTTGGTCCTCTTGCCACATTGGCAATGGGCTTCACATTCAGCTCTTATCACTGCTAATAGTGATTGATAGTTTCCACTGCAAGCCAAGGGTCTTCCTGCACAGCCTGATGCTGAGGGAATGGTAAAGGATGCAGAGCCTGAAAAGCGGAATGATCTGATTGCAGGTTTTGCACCTTGAACCAAATCAAACCTTTATGACTTTACTATCTGAGATATATATTTTCTGTGAAATGAAAGCTCTGCAAAACACAATACTAGTAGGTTAAAGGCTGGGTTTAGTTCAAAGCTAAAAAGCTATATGTATATGTGAATATATTTATATATGTAACTTGACATTTAAGCTTACTGCATACAGGATATTGGCTTTATGTTTGCAGCCTGTGAGAGATTTACTGCTGTTACCTAAAAATATGTCATGGCTTTGAAAAGACAGACCAAAGCTCTGGCATCTGGTAGTTTGCAGCAGCAGTATCAGCTCTCACTGCATGTACCGGTTGTACACCATGCTTCAGACCAAGCTGCTCTTGAGCCTTGCGTGTGCACAATGCAAGTCAGTGCTGCTTTCTGCTTGACCTCATTTCTTGGTGCTGCCCATGGCATGTGTTGACACGTATATGAGCAGTTCAGAGCCCTGTCTCTTGAAAACACACACATGGACAGCAGTGGTGTGTGCTTCTCACTGCACCAGTTGAGTGGTACACTTCAGTCTAGGGTGTTTCTACTGTGTGCAACATCCTTTTGAGAAGGGGGGTGGTTGTTCAGTGGTTGAATGTGTGGTACATGAGCATTTCTTGAGCACTGCTCAATCTCTAACAGATCTGTTGGGTGGCAGATTGTGATTCTTGCCTATGTCTGCAAGTGAAAGCTTGGCCATCTAAGGTCCTTGCAAACAGCTCTGTGATTCTCTTCTAGTTTCAGTGGCAATTCTTTGCATGTAGTTGATATGAAGTGCTCTGTTTTTCAGGTAAGATAAAGCAGGATATTGTGTGTACATCTGTTTCTTCTCAGTATGGTTTGAGTAGACAGGGCACTAATAAGCTGGGTGGCAAACTTAGTTCAGTCTCCAAATGTTGCAGGTTTATTTACAGTCAGAAATGGAGGCAAGCAGCAGAAAA